AGCGAACAGGGAATGTCATACAAAAGCTCCTTGATACTCTCAGCACACCATCCGAGTCCGTTCAATATGCTGTCGCCAATTGCCTGCCTCCACTTGTCCGTCCTCCCTCTATCGATGCTGCGCCATACATCACCTCTCTTCTTGATCAGCTTTTCCAGTCCAAGAAATACGCTGCACGTCGAGGAGCAGCTTACGGTCTTGCAGGAGTTGTCAAGGGTAAAGGTGTGGCAGCGTTGCGGCAACACAGGGTGATGGTTGCGTTGCGAACTGCGACTGAAAACAAAAAAAGCCCTGAGCAGCGACAAGGCGCAATGATGGCATACGAGTTACTGTCATTGCTGCTCGGTCGGACCTTTGAACCATATATGATCGAGGTGCTTCCCCAATTATTGACATGCTTTGGCGACCCAGTGGCATCAGTACGTGAAGCTTGCTTGGACACTGCAAAGACATGTTTTGCCAGCCTGAGCTCCTTTGGCGTACGTCGTGTCCTTCCTGAACTACTCGAAGGATTAAATGAGACACAGTGGCGTAGCAAGAAAGGAGCGTGTGACCTCCTCGGTGCAATGGCTTACCTTGATCCGCAACAGCTAGCCACAAGCTTGCCAGAAATCATACCTCCTTTGACATCGGTTCTGACGGACAGTCACAAAGAGGTTCGAGCCGCTGCCAATAGCAGTCTCAAGAGATTTGGAGAAGTCATCACAAACCCAGAAGTCAAGAGCCTCGTTGACATTTTACTCAAAGCACTGAGTGACCCAACAAAATACACTGAGGAAGCTTTGGACGGGCTGATCAAGGTTCATTTCGTCCACTATCTCGACGCACCTTCGCTCGCCCTTGTAGTGAGGATCTTAGAGCGAGGGCTCAATGATCGCTCAGCTACTAAACGCAAAGCTGCTCAAATCATTGGGAGTCTGGCACATCTCACCGAGAAGCGTGATATTGTTACCCATCTACCGATTCTTGTCACAGGCCTCCGTCTTGCGTCTGTCGATCCTGTACCTGCAACTCGAGCAACCGCCTCCAAAGCTCTGGGCAGTCTTGTTGAGAAGCTGGGCGAAGATGCCTTCCCAGATCTGATACCAAGCTTGATGTCCTCGCTTCGTACAGATACGGGTGCAAGCGATCGCCTCGGGTCAGCTCAAGCACTGAGCGAAGTCCTCGCTGGTCTGGGTACTGGCCGTCTTGAAGAAACGCTGCCATCTATCCTACAGAACGTCGCCAGCTCAAGGCCAACCGTTAGAGAAGGATTTATGACTTTGTTCATCTTCTTGCCGGCGTGTTTCGGCAACAGCTTTGCTAATTATCTTGCTCAAATTATCCCATCCATTCTCAGGGGCCTGGCCGACGATGTCGAAGCAATTCGCGAAACTGCTCTCAGAGCGGGCAGGTTACTCGTGAAGAACTTTGCGACTAAATCCATTGACCTCTTGTTGCCAGAATTGCAACGTGGTCTGGCTGACGACAGCTACCGTATTCGTCTCAGTTCAGTTGAGCTTGTCGGGGACCTACTCTTCAATCTCACCGGGGTCAGTGCTCAAACAGAAGCTGAGGAGGAAGGCGAAACTGCAACACAAGCTGGACAATCCTTGCTTCAAGTTTTGGGAGAAGAGAGACGCAATCGGGTCCTGTCTTCTCTCTACATTTGTCGCTGCGATACTTCTGCGCAAGTTCGAGCAGCTGCCATTGCCGTGTGGAAAGCACTCGTTGCAACACCGAGAACACTGCGCGAACTAGTGCCGACGCTATCTCAGATGATTATTGCTCGCCTTTCCTCGTCCAACATGGAGCACAAAGAGATTGCTGCCAATGCTCTGGGCGAAGTGATTCGCAAGGCTGGAGAAGGCATTTTTGCCTCGTTGCTTCCGTCCCTTGAGGAAGGCCTTCAATCTTCCACCGATCCAGATAAACGACAAGGCATCTGTATTGCTCTCCGGGAGATTGTCGACGCTGCTTCACCCGAGTCTCTGGAAGAGCACGAAAAGAAATTAATTGCCATTGTCCGACTGGCGCTGACAGATTCCGATCCCGAAGTGCGCGATGCAGCAGCAGAATCCTTTGACTCTCTTCAACAGATGTTTGGCAAACGAGCTGTGGATCAGGTGTTGCCGCATCTGCTGAATTTATTGCGGAGCGAAACGGAGGCTGAACATGCACTGTCCGCGCTGCTTACTTTGCTCACTGAAGCTACCAGGGCCAACGTTATTCTGCCTAACCTGATCCCGACGCTCCTCACCAACCCCATCACTGGCTTCAATGCTCGGGCGCTGGCTTCATTGGCTAAAGTCGGAGGTGCAAGCATGACTCGCAGACTGCCTACAATACTGAACAGTCTTGCGGACAACATGGTCACATGCAAGGACGAGGAACTTCGAGGAGAATTGAACGAGGCCTTCGACGCGACATTGTCTTCCATTGACGAATTCGATGGTCTCAACACCGCCATGGGTGTGATGTTGGCCATGATCAAGCATGACGACCACAGAAGACGAGCACTCGCTGCAAATCATTTAGCAACGTTCTTCGCAAATCCCGTTCTCGACTATTCCCGCTACAACCAAGATCTCATCCGCGCCCTTCTCATCTCATTCGGCGATCGAGACCAAGATGTTGTCAAAGCAGCCTGGTCCGCACTAAACCAGCTGCAGTCCCATTTGCGCAAAGAAGAAATGGAGACACTAGTCACCTCCACCCGACAAGTCCTCCAGCAAGCTGGGACTGCAGGATCAGTCCTGCCTGGATTCGCGCTTCCTAAGGGTATCCTGCCCGTACTTCAAATCTTCCTGCAAGGCTTGATGAACGGTACAACCGAGCAGCGAGTCCAGTCTGCTATGGGTATATCAGACATCATTGAGCGGTCGAGTCCTGACGGATTGAAGCCGTTTGTCACCCAAATCACCGGTCCGCTCATCCGTGTTGTCGGGGAGAGATCAATGGATGTCAAATGTGCTATCCTGTCCACTCTCAACCTGCTCCTCGAGAAGATCCCTACTTTCTTGCGTCCCTTCCTGCCTCAGTTGCAAAGAACATTCACAAAATCTATCGCCGATCCGACAAGTGAAATTCTCCGTACACGGGCAACGAAAGCATTAAGTACGCTCATCACATTAACGCCGCGCGTCGACCCCTTAATTGCCGAACTCGTTACTGGCGCGAAGACCCCCGAGACCGGTGTCCGCAATGCCATGTTGAAAGCCCTTCAGGAAGTTGTCAGCAAGGTTGGTTCGAGCATGTCCGACAGCTCCCGCGAATCCATCTTGGGGCTTATGGACAGCCAACATGACGTTCAGGATGATAATATGATGGTGACCAATGCTCGGCTTCTGGGGGCTATGATCAAAGTTCTTCCCGCAGAGAAGGCTGCGACTTTGATCAAGACTCGTGTACTCGCCCAGCCGTCGACCAACGCGTCAATTCTTGCTCTAAATGCCGTACTTTTGGAAAGCGCTCCGAGTCTGATAGAAAATCCGGCATATGCAGAAGATACACGGAACGTCCTCGTCAACGGCCTAACTGGGAAGAGCGGTACTTTCGTACAACAGAATGCCGTACTTGCATTAGGAAAATACCTCCTCTCTCTGCATGAAATATCTTCCGGCGTCGAAATTGAAGAAAGATGCAGACCCCTCTTCGAAGCCCTCGCTTCCACAATCCCACCAGGAGGAGACATCGACTCTCGCCGCCTCGCACTGGTGGTCATTCGCACGATCTTCCGCCACCACGGCGACAGTCTGCGCGAGGACAACAAAATCGTGGCCATCCTGGTCCCGCCGGTTTTTGCATCGGTAAGGGACGTCGTCATCCCTGTCAAGTTAGCAGCCGAGGCAGCCTTTCTCGAACTCTTCAACGTGGTCGACGAGGAATCTGCCCTCTTCGACAGGTACATGGCCTCAGAAGACGGTGGTAAGACGCTTGGAGTGGGCCCGGCAAGGGCGATGGGAGATTACTTCAAACGCGTGGCACTCAAGTTGGGAACTTCTGCGAGGGAGAGGAGGGCGGCGGAAGGTGGTGTCAGAGGCGGGCTGGGGCTGAGTTCGGATGAAGAGGAAGATGAGAGGGAGGTCTGGAGTGTGGGACGTGTGGACCTGGGTGAAGCCGGATTCGGTGAAGAATAGCAATGAGAAACCAGAGGAAAAGAAACAAGCGGTCCAAGTACGTGCGGGAGTTTGTTGGGACGAAGCCGCGAGAACTCACGTCTATGTAGGTAAATAAAAAAGGGATATTGGCGACTTCTATTGCAAAAGACCGATCAATGTCGATTAACTCCATCTCACCGGAATGAAGGGTTGACCTGCACGCTTCCTGCGCGTATGCGTCCATCTCCATATGAGGTTTTCTTCAGATAGGATCACAGCCCACGTAAAGAACGGACACAGAGTGATTGGAGAAAAGAGGAGTATGGGTGATTTTTTGGAGTATCCCTCTACACAGCTCTGTAGCTGGACATGGATGGAGGGGGATCCAGCAAAAAGCCTCCAAGCTTTGCTTGCTTGCCTATATGTACATACGTATAACTGAACCGCGCCCTCCCTCTGACTCGTATTCAGCAGGGGCGATGGAGTACAGCCGTCTGATCTGACGGAGACCACTCAGTCTTTTTCGTGGCCGAACAGACTGTGACAAGGGGGTTGGTTTAGGGGGTGAAACTGCGTCGTGGGAATTGCCGTGCTTGTCCCCCTTGCTGGTTGTCTGGCAGTGGAGACGAGAGACAAGCACTGCTTGGATTCCGACCACCCCCCACTCCTCGTCGGAATGCCACGACCGGTTGCGGCTTGACAGAACCAACAAAAGAGAAGATTGGCATTGTCGGAGGAGAGCTTCCTATTATCTGAAAAGGGATTTGAATGCAGGTGCTGGTTGCTCCGGGATATCCCCTGAAGGACCTGTTTGCTCTGTGGGCGGTGGTGGCCTAACCAATATGCGAATCAGATTAGCACCATGGTTTTCCTGAAATCAAGTGGGTGGGAAAACGTGCAACAGTAAACGAAAAGCATAACTTACGGTGCGCTCTTCTGTCCCTGTTCACCGCTAAAGTACTTCGAAAAGTCGCCCGGGTCCTCAAATGGTCTCGGCCCCAGTATTCTCACCAAATCATCTCTGACAAGCATTTCTTTCTTTAAAAGCTCCTCCGCCACAGCCTGCATTTGATCCTTTTTCTCCAATAGGAGATCTTTGCACTGCTTATGCGCTTCATCCACAATGCGTCGGACTTCCTCGTCGATGTGTCGCGCTGTTTCTTCCGAGAAAGGCTTGTGTAGTCTCTGCTCATCGTCGCGGTAGTGCAAGTATCCGATCTTGGGGGACATGCCCCATTCGGTGACCATAGCCGTAGCCATCCGTGTGACCTTGTTGAAATCATCAGATGCCCCACTCGTCACAGTATCGAACCAGATTTCCTCGCTGACGCGTCCGCCCAATGTCATGGCCATGCGGTCCATCAGTTGCTTGACGTTCAGCAGGTACACATCACCACCACCAGCGGGGAGGTATTGGGCGTAGCCCAAGGCACCTTGACCTCTAGGGATGATAGACACTTTGAGAAGGGGGTCGGCGTACTTGAAGAACCAACCGCAGATAGCATGACCAGCCTCGTGGTACGCGACGGTTTTCTTCTCCTCCGGCGTCAAGACTAATGACTTCTTCTCAAGGCCGCCAACGACACGCTCGATTGCTTGTTCAAAGTGAAGCATTTCAACGGACGCTGCGTTCGAGCGAGCGGCGATGAGGGCGGCCTCGTTTACACAGTTGGCAATGTCTGCACCTGAAAATCCCGGCGTCAAAGCCGCCAGACGGCCGGTGAGGTATTCCATGTCGACGTGAGTGACGATCTTGCGGAGATGGACTTTGAATATTTGCTTGCGGCCCTCCATGGTTGGTCTATCAATAACAATGTGTCTATCAAATCGACCCGGTCGCATCAAAGCTTTGTCGAGAACATCGGGTCTGTTGGTACCGGCAAGGACGACAACTTGTTCGGAGGTATTGAAACCATCCATCTCGGTCAAGATCTGGTTGAGGGTCGATTCGCGCTCATCATTGCCGCCACCAAAGTTTTGTTTCGCCCTAGATTTGCCGATGGCGTCGATTTCGTCAATGAAGATGATGCACGGAGCATTCTTTCGGGCATTTGCGAACAGGTCCCGCACTCGAGATGGGCCGACACCAACGAACATTTCTACGAATTCGGAACCGGAGACAGAGAAGAATGGAACACCGGATTCACCGGCAGTCGCCTTGGCCAACAACGTCTTGCCAGTACCCGGAGGACCGGACAAAATGGCTCCTCGAGGAATCTTGGCGCCCAGTCTTTGGTATTTCGAAGGATCTTTCAAGAAAGAGACGAACTCCATGATCTCCAGCTTTGCTTCGTCCATACCAGCAACATCGGCGAATTTGATTTTGATGTCGGTCTCGTGGTTGAATCTTTTAGCTCTTGACTTGCCGATGCCGAAGATCCCACTCTGACCACCAGCACCCGATGCCGCTCTCCTCGACAACCAGAACAGAGCACCCACAAAGAGAAGGGTTGGGCCAAAAGAGAAGATGGCGGCGCTCAGCGGAACTTCATCAGAGTAAGCCACAGGTATTCTTTCGTTCGCGGGGATACCCAATTCTTGTTGTGCCTCGTCCAAATGTCTCTCAAAAGCTTCCACCGAGCCAATTGAAAAGTAGTAATAGAAGTTGGGTTGAGCCGCAGGCGACTCTGGATATCTCTGTGCGACAGCGGAACGGTGTAGTTCGACTTTGACTCGGTTTCGATTGATGACGGTGAGTCTGCTGACCAGGCCTTTGTCAAAGAAGGTAGTCCTGAATTCCTGCCACGTAATTTCTCGACTTGTCTCCCCAGGGTACAGGCTTCGGTACAAGTAGTAGGTAATGAAGGCGGTCATGATCATTGTGCTGGCGTCGAGCTTGAACTCGTAGACTTTGGGTCCACCCTGCTGCTGCCGCTGCTGCTGCTGCTTCTGCTTTTCTTTGCGTTGTTTATGATGTTCCTCGCTCTTGTTTGACTGATCGAACAGTGGAGTTTCATCCGGTGTGGCGCCCTTGCCGTATTGTTGTCGAACCTCCTCTGGGGTCATGCGCGACATCTTGGTGAAGAGTCCCACAAGACGCACCGTGGTGCCAAGGTCGATTCGCTTGCTTGGATCCTTCCGCCGCGCTTCAAGAACTTCTCGGAGTTCTTTGGGGATTCCACCTTTTTTCATAAGCTCGGCAGCTTCATCAACGGCGTCGGCTTGCGCCTTGGGGAGACCCGTCTTAATCATTTGGGCGACATCGTCGATCTGTCTAATCTCTTCTGGTGTGAGGGGAGAAAACTCTTGGGTGCCGGCCTTCTTTGACTCTGGTTCTGCATTTTGGTCCTGTTTCCCAGCTCCGTCTGCAGATTTCTCGGCCTTCTCAGCATTCTCAGGCTTCCTCTTCGGCTTTTCAGGATCTTCCGAAGGCGGCTTTGGATCACCAGGGGTCACCGTTGCATACAATCTCGACAGAGGCGGACGTAATGACCGAGTGTATCGTAGTCTGGCGAATTGGGCGGAGCGGCGATGGGCACAGAATGCGCACTCAAAAGCAGCTTTTGACGAGCGCATCAATTGCGGCCGCAGGTAGCTTGCCGCCATTGCTGGCGTGAAGTCTGGAGGGAGAGACTGCCAGCAAAAGGGCACGAGGTAATGAGGGAGGAGGAGGTGAGAGGACGATGAGCCCAGACGGCAAGACAGCAAGTCTGGTGATCGGAGGATGCGCAATGGAGTTGACGCGAGCACATTTGCCTGACTTTTCTTAGATCCGATGCACCCATGACAGATGCGCTTGTCATAGATTTGGCCCAGTGTGATTGCGCCACCGGCCCATCTCGCCATCCGAATAATGCAGCCTTCTCCTGTCGTGCAGAGAGCATAAAACGGCACGGTGGATTTCTTGGATCATGTATCAGATTCTTTCTGACACTACAGCTCTACTCTATGGAATCCGGGTACTCCGTACACGTATCAGACTTCAATCTGCTGCTCCCATCGCATCCATATCCCATATTTCTGACCAACTTGACCACTTCGCCAACAGCCTTGCAAGCCGTATCCTTCTCCTACTCAGAGTTTACATCCGTCTTCTCCCGTACATGTCATGTCGAAGTTTCCATTCCTCCTCTAACTTGGCCTTAACAGCTTCTTTTCCCGCGGGTCGAAATCTAGGATCACGCGCAATCCGGCTTGGGGCGCTATAGAAACCTCCAGTGTTTTCCTCAAAAAAGCTCGTGCCGCCAATATTGCCCATCAGAAGCCGACCTCTTTCAATTGCATACTCCGGTGCGGGTTTGTACTTGCATACTAGGGCGTCCGTGTCCACTCCCAGCCCCGATGACTCTGTAGACTCAGCCAAGTTGGCTATGATGTCTCCAACTGCGCGGATTGCAGCACTCTCGATCCCCGCATCGGACGTTTGGTCGCTCAAGGCACTATCACCACCGACCCCAACTGACAGACGGCTAGCGTGGCATTCTTTAGCGGCCTGCTCGAACACTTTTCGTGTACCTGTAGCCGCTCTGTTGTCTCTGCTGGCAATTCGCATCCAATTTTGAAGACTCTCCTTCCTCGCACTTGATGAATTTTGTAAAAAGCCCTGGGGTGCATCTGGACTCTGCGCTCTGGCACACATTCTCATGACTCGATTCATTTTCACGCGTTGGCTCTTGCTGACAGATCTGAGCTCGAACCAATCATCATTGCCAACCTCAAAGATCTCTCGCAGGGTGGAGGCGTCAAAGGGAGACGAGCCCTTGTTAGTGATTTGTGCCAATGTTTGACGAGAGCTCAATTGCGAGTCAAACCCCGGAGGAGGGTTTCGAATAATGATGGATCTAGGGCCATCGGTCTGGGCACGAGAGGCAAGTTCTGGTGTTGCTGTTGTACTGTGAGGGCGAGCTGGCGAAGCTGATTCACTCGACTTTACTCGATGCAAATCGGGATTATGCAGAACAGTTTTCCCTGTCTTTGCTAATGCCTGTTGAGCTGCGACAAAACTCTGCATCTGATTCTTGCGGTCGTAAGGTTCGTCATCTGGTAGGACAAGAATTGGGCGGACTGTCTGCTGTCCTAGCGCCGGTTGCTCCGTTATTGATCGCTGCTTGGGCGGCTCCCCAACAGCGTTGGGATATGAGAAACTTCTGATGACGTTCGGTACCGGAAAAGAAGAAGCGTCAGAAGTGTTTTCGTCCATGTTGATAACGCTGTCGGAGTTCACATGTGGCATCGCCGGGCGCGCAACTAGATCCGACGCAAGAGTCCAGGTTTGCGAATGGATACTGGAACCCAGTTCGTTTTCATAGTGAACGAATGTCGCTGGGGTCACCACCGAGTTCCCGATCATACCTGAGCCGGGAGTGATGTGATGATGTGGAGTGACGAAACCGGCAGATGCGTCCGTGTATTCATGAGACAACGATGCGAGTTTGTTCTCCTGCTTGGAAGGGCTGATATCGTCTGGGACCATTAGATTGCCGTAATATTGGCCTGGGTGGAAGGTGGGCATCGCGGCTGGACCTAGCACGGGCATACCATGTGAGTCAAACCACCACGTCAAACCAGGGTACGGGAACCCACTGATTCCAGAGAGATTGCTCGGGGAGCTATTCACACTGGGATTGATGCCTTGTTGTACCTGCTTGATGATCGCATGTGGCTGGACGCGTTGGGGTGTCGGGTTGACAAGCGGCGACGGCGACTGTGAAGTCAACCTCAGCATTGCCTTTGGCGCTGTGGGGATTGCCGAGCTGGTGGTGTTGGCCTCGAGCCATGTCGGCTGCGGATTACCCGGCACGAGAGGAAGGTCAGACTCTTGGTTGATGGAGTTACTGCGGTCGACTCGTTTCTGACGGGTTGGTGTAGAGACGGCGTCTTCGATCTCCTCGACACTGTCATTGTCATCTTCAGGGGTATCTTCCAAGATTAGTGGCTTCCAGGCCTTGGGACCCTTGTTGCGGTTGAGCTGAGGATTCTTGGTGAAGGCGCTCAAAGAAATCGGTGCAGGCTTAGGAGGCAACTTGTGCTCTTCCGCTTCACGACTTGCTTGTCTTGCAGAAGCGGCTTTGAAAGCATGGTACTCGGCAGCTCTGGCTCGCGCACCCAACATGTCGGGGTTCTCTGTAGGCAAGAGGGGAGGTCTAGATATTGTGAGTATGCCAGCTTTAGGGGAAGGACATGATGGTGTTTGACCTGGATCCAAAAGGTTGCTCTAAATATCAAACATTTCTTTGCGGAATCATCAGCTTACAAGTTCCGCCACTGCGGATGTGAGAATCCAGCCAAGGAAGATGATGTAGTTTGCGGCGAGGAAGGAGATGGCGACTGCGACAAACTGGACCTGGCCAAAACCTGGCACCTGGACCGGCTCAGAAGGTAGGAGGCTGCAACGGGGGGACGTCGATCTATGCAGCAACCACCAGCGCTGGCGCAAGCGGAAGAAGATTGAAGGGCAAAGCGAATTTGACAGAGTGGTGCCACAGGGGAATGAGGATGAGGGTAAAGTGAGGGTCTAGGAGGAGAGGGCGCCGCCGAAGATACTGAACGAACACTGGATAGGAAAGACGAACAAACACGTTTTCTTAAGTGGCTCGGAATCAGGAAGACCGAGTACCATCTGTTGTGATGAGGCTTGGTGTTCGAAATCATCAAGTTGATTTTGTTGCCATCAGGAAGGAGAGACTGAAGAAAGAGAGCCAGGAAGGCATATAGGAGGGCGGTCACTTGTCACTCATCTGCATTTCACCCTCCTTTCAGGTTTCCACTCATCCATCTTTGTCTCTCATCATTTCATCGAACACACTATCACAGCTGATGGGAAACAAAATAACCTCGAGGCTCCCGATGTCTACAACGAGACACTCATCAGGAGAGGGATGCTCAAATCGAAGGACGACTGGATGCGCAGCCGTCGCTCGGGCACATTCCAGATCGACTCTCTCTGCCAGCATCACAGGCAGAACGGCTGCCACCACTCCCCCTCTTTGTGGCATTCCATCCCACGTGCCCTGTCATGGACGATACAATCTGACATCCAAGAAGAGATCAATGAAGAGGAGGCCGATTTGATAGACAGCGAGACAAGTCCCTAGACGGGAAATCATCGGCACGGATGGGTGGCCGGCCCATCAGCCTTGTTTTGCCTTGTCCTGCCCAACTTGCCACAACCTAAATACGACAACTTCGCAGCATATTTCGCCCCAAGTCCCTCAAGGTCCCTAGGACTTCTTCGAGAAAGAAAACAACTGATCTGTCAACGAGCTGCTCCCTGGTCTAAGAGTCCTCACCCCGAGAATCTCTGAGACGAGACCAGCATCATGAAGATAGGTGATCCGACGTATCGAGGTGCACAAGTCCATCTCCCGCTTGAAGTCGCCACGCTTATAATGGCATATGTCGCTTCGGGCCATGATCCTGACACTCAAACATCATTATGGGCTTGCTGTTTGGTGTCCAAGACCTGGTATGCGGCCTCTGTCCCCCATCTCTACAACCGGCCCCTTCTTTCCAGCCGAAACTTCGACCTTTTCACCCGGACGATATGCCCCCCGGCACGGTCCCGGAGATCGCGTGTCGGTCTTGAGAATATGATCAAACATCTTGACATGAGTCGGCTCGCGTACGAGAGCACCAATAGTCTCACGGCCCGCCTTATCAACCGGATCAAGTCGTCGCTAGAGAGTTTTGCTACTCCAGCCGTCACTTTCTCGTGAGCCACTTCTAGTCTTTGCGGGAATTTCGGATGACTCTGACGCTGTCGGTAGGGTTTCATCATTGGCTTCATTGTCCAAATGTGTGAATTTGCGTCATCTAGACATGTCAGCAGATTCTTACTCGATACGGTTGCGCGACCTTTTCGACGCCATAGCTAAGCTCCAACGTTTGACATCTCTGAGTCTGCCAAGAGGAATCAAATTTAGACCAGAGTATCTTCCGTGGGAAAACTTGAAATGGCCAGAGAACTTGACGCGTCTGCATGCCGCCGATCTGATGTGTTATCGATCCATGGACTGGGACATGCTATTTGAAAGCTGGCCCAGGACTCTGGAAACACTGACCTTTCCAATGTCGGACGTCTTCTTACACTGTCAAAAAAAAGTGGACCATGTTCAACGCCTCGAGTTGATTGATTCTAGAGGATCAGGCGATGATAGCTATAACCTGTTCGATATCCTCCAAGTCTTTCCAAGTCTCCGAGAATTGATCGTTCCCGCCGATGTGGCACGGAGAACCCTCAACGAACTTCCAGTAGAGGCAGAAAAAACGGCTGCCACAACCTGCCCTCTGGAAATATTGAGGATCACCCCGACATCTTATCCCAAATGGTACCTTAACAGCCAGGGCCGTGTAAATGTTGAGACGGACTTTGAGGCCTTTCGCAGGTTGGCCGTGCTCCCCCGACTTCGAAGGCTGGAAATGCCGAAGTCCCTCACGAGCGGCAACCGAGCCGGAGACCAAACCTGGTTCGAGGAGCTCTCACGCAGGATCGAGAAACGCGCAGACCAAGACAAGCGAAGCTCTTCGGGCATTTTCCTGGTGGATGATTTGGAGGCTATGGAAATATGACAAGCATGATTCGTTCGCCATGTTGGATGAACGCGAGC